GCGGATTCTCCAGCCACGGGGTGTGCAGGGGGTTGGGATAGGGTGGTCACCACTGCTGGGGGCTTGTGGCATGGCTCTGCCTGAGCATCACTGCCCTGAACAGTAGGAAGGGGTGAACCTTTGGAGCCCCAGTGCCCTTTGTGGTCCCACAGAGCTCTCCTGGCCCTAAATAGCTGCGGAGCTGGGACAGCACCACGCTGGGTCCCACGGGACAGCCAGCCCGGGCGTGCTCAGCATGTCCCTTGGGCTTTGTCCAGGTGCTGTCATGTGTGCTGGGCTTGTCAGCCCTGAGGTGGGATGGCTTCATAGAAAGAGATTCTTCAAATTTTCTTTCCCTGAAGTCTGAGGGTGTAGGAAGAAGATGAGCTGGCAGAGGCTGGTACGGGGGGTGGCTCCCGTGCTGTCCCTGAGGTGGAAGCGCAGAGGTTTTTCCCAGGGCTGGCAGTGTTTTCCTGCAGAATTGGCCCAGCTGGCTCTCAGAACAGATTGCACTTTTCCTTTTAAAATCCAGGCGGTTGTAAGAACTGGCCTAGCGACGTTTCAAGCCCACTTAGATGTTAGCACTGTGGAAGTGTGAGATCTGGGACATGGTGCCACCAGCACCATGTTCCTGAGCCAGCCCTCCCCCTCCTTCTGCTGTGAGTGATTTATAGAATCATAGAATCACTTGGTTGGAAAAGACCTTTGAGATTATCGAGTCCAACTGTACCTGTCCATGACTAAACCATCTCTGAGCACCTCATCTACCTGTCTTTTAAATCCCTCCAGGGATGGGGACTCAACCACCTCCCTGGGCAGCCCATTCCAGTGCCTGAGAACCCTTTCAGTGAATAAATTTTTCCTGATATCCATTCTGAACCTTCCCTGGTGCAACTTGAGGCCATTTCCACTTGTTCTATCACTTGTTACCTGGGAGAAAAGACACACACCTGCCTTGCTACAGCAATTTAGGATCCCTGGAGCATGAAGCAATTAGTGTTTGCTGAGAAACCCCAGGGACCAGCATCGCTCCAGGCTCCCACAGTCCTGGGTGCACCGTGCGTCCTCCATGGAAACCGGGTGGCATCCACACACGAGCTGCTCCACAGGCTCTGAATTGCCAGCACGTGCTATTTTTCCTCAGCTGGAAACATCACAAGAGGGGAGGGATGTGTCCTGCTGAGGAGAAGCAAATTGCAGTGACAGGGATGGACTGAGCCGCTCTGGTTGTGTTGCTGTTGGGGTGGATGCTGGTCTGTGCTGGGCTGTGTTTGAGCCGTGGATGGGGGGTTGTGTATGTGCTTGGCACGCCCCGCTCTGCCCTGCAGCTCCAGTCTCTTTCCATGCAGGAGGGGATGGTCCTGGGGGTCTCAATCACTGTGTGATTGGGGTGGGGGACAGCACAGCTGTGCCTGTCTCCAGCGCTGTGAAATGGGTGACGTGAGGAAGTGGAGGGTGTCTGAATGTGCATCTTCCGTTAACTGAAAGGGAAGTTTTTGGGGGGTTTGGGTTTTTTTGTTTGTTTGTTTTTCTTTTTGCCAGCTACTTGTGAAAATCTCTGCCCTTGGTGGTAGACTCTCGTGCCAGTCCAGCACCTGTGTGTGTCCATGCGAGACCTGTTGCAGTTGACAGGTTGCAGCCAAGCATGTGCCTAAGGACTCTGACAGATTGTGGAGTTGAAATTGCCATTATGATAAGCAGATGTTAATGTGCGATTCCTAAATACCCCAGGAAAGCTTTGCTTTGATTTTCTGAAGGCACTGAACAAGGAGGAGGCTGCAATGCAATGTCCATGTTCCTCCATCGGGTTACTGCTCCTGCTCGGTGATTCGAGGCTGTTTGCCAGTCTCAAGCAGAAATTGTGAACTCTCACTTGGGAATTGCTGGAAGGAATTTGGTGCTTTTGAGTCCCAGGATTGGAACCATCTTGACAGATTGCAACCAGGATTTCCATTTGCCCTGTGCTTGATTTGTCTCCTAAAAGAAATATCACAGGTAGCCTGGGGCGATACTGGTGTATTTAAAGCTTGCTGCACCCTTGCCTTGTGTGCTGAGAGAGGCTTTGCTCCCAAAGTGGCTTTTTCCCCCCCTTTTTTTTTTCCTTCTCAGAGGTTACAGTTTTTATTCTGAGCCTTACCAGCCTTGATAGCTCATCCCTTCACACTTCCTGCTCTCCGCCGATGCTAACTTCTGAGCAAGCCCACATAAAACATGCTGGTGAAATGTATTCCCAGCCTGTCTCCGGGGAAGGTGGTGAGTTCTGGGGAGGCAGCAGAGCTGTGAAATCCATCCCACTGAGCACAGTCCAGGACACAACCTAAAATTGCAGCAGGTCTGGATTTTGGGATGCTGAAGGCTGGGCTTTAGAGGAGACTTGCCCTCCTGGCTGGCTGGGAAGCCCCTGGGTAACACAGGCTAAAGGGTTGTCAAAACTCGAAGCACAAGATGTGCTTCATGTAGGGAGTTTCCAAGGGTCTTGTGGCAATAAAGTCATCGAGGTTCTTGAATGCCACTGTCAGACCTGCATGGGCGAAGTGGTGTCAAACCTCGAAGCACAAGATGAGCCTCATGTAGGGAGTTTCCAATGGTCTTGTGGCAATAAAGTCATCGAGGCTTCTTGAATGCCACTGTCAGACCTGCATGGGCTGAAGAAGCTTGTGAAGAGCTCCAGCAATTGCACAAAGAACCAAACAGCACGTGTCAGTGCAGGCTCTAATTCTTGCTGCTGGTTTGCATCTGGCACTGTGATTTGATGTGATCAGTGTCCCTGGGCTGGAGATGTGCTCCAGGCAGGAGTTCGGCTGTGGTACAGAATCAGAATGGTGCTGCCAAAACAGGTTCACCTAGAGCAGGTTGCATAGGACTGCATCCAGGTGAGTTATGAACATCTCCAGAGTCCTCAGAGCAGAGCCCTGCAGTGCAGTCAGCACAGTCCTGTCCTTGCAGCAGGTTATTTCCCATGAGGACACTCAAAGGTGGCTGCTGGGCTTTACTGTGAAGCCAGGGACCTCTTGGGTTAGTTTAGTTCCCTGTATTTAATTATTTTAAATAGATTTTCTGTGATTTTGAATTTACTTCAGGGCCACACGAGTCCTTGCTTCCATCTCACAATTACAGGAGTCATTAACTCTGTGACAGGCTGTGCTAGAGGGATGCTGAAGGTGAGCAGGTGCCAGCTTTGGGATGGGATGCAGGGATGTCCCCAGGGTACGGGGATGGGATGCAGGGATGTCCCCAGGAGAGGGGATGCAGGGATATCCCCTTGCTGCCTGTGGCTGAGCAGCTTTAGCTTTGTGCTCTGGGTTTCCCTCCCCTCCTTGCCCCTACTGCACGGTGCAGACAAAGCACCAGCCCCAGGGATGGCTCTGGGACCCTCGAGGGTCTTTGCAGATGCTGGGGCTGCACTTGAACTCTTAGAGTGGGAACATCCAAAATCCCTGGCCATATGTGCTGGCACAGCCTTTGCTGCCTTCCAGCAGGTTTTCAGAAAAGAGCTCGTTGGTTCTCGTGTTCCCACAGTGCCTGAGCATGTCTGGGCTCTGCTGGCGCAATGCTGGAGGGTCACATCCTGACATTTCATTCCCAGGGTGTCCGTGGGCCTTTGCAGCCTGTGCTGTGGTACTTGGGCAGATGGGAGGTGGGAGCGTGGCTCAGGCTCTGGCTCCAGGCTGCTCCAAACCTTCTCTGCAGAAAAACCATCTGCAATTGCATGTTCCCGGTGCCTCATCAGAGCCTCCCTCCCTCCCAGCTCCTCCAACACTATTCTTGTTCTCTTGCTGTCTTGCGTGTCCCTGGAGGAAGGTGGTTGGCATCCCACCAGTCCTGCTTGCCTGCTGGGGAGGCTGGGTGGGCAGGGACCTCTCCCTGAGGCTGGGTGGGAGTGGTGGGGGAGGGAGGGCTCGGTGGTGGTTTGGGCTTTCCTCCAGCATACCCTGAGATGTGTGCTCAGACCCTCTGCTGCAGGAAGCACCTTCCTGTCCCCCTTGCAGACAGCCTGTGATGGGCACCGTGGTCCTGCTCCTCTCTAACTGCTCCGACCCCACAGCAGCATCCTTCTGGCCAGGACTGTGGTCCCCATCCCGAGTGGGCTCAGCCTGTCCAGCACTTGGTGCAAACCCGTTCATTGCCATCCTGCTCACCCGCTCTAAACCCTGCTTTGCGTTGGAGAACTTCTCACCAGCTGCCTCTGCACAACGGGATCACATTTTCCATTATTGAATAGTGACATTTCCATGTGTGACCTGCAGGTAAAGCCCACTGATGTGTCACATCTGTTGCTTTGCCTCCCGAGAGGAAATTCCCCCAAACCTGAGTGAGAAGCAGCAGCCGTCATCCTCCTGGCGATCCCACGTGTGGGCAGACACTGACCAGTTTCTGCCACGGGCTGGGATGCCTGGCCTGGGTTTGCAGTGACTGATTTATTAGTCACATAGCTGGCGTGCTGCTTGTGTGATTTTACTGCTCTGAGCTATAATTTCCAAAGAGAAGGAGAAATAATCCAGCAGAGATTTAATTTCAGGTTCTACCTGGGTGAACCTGCTGTCAGCTGGTCAAGGAGCTGGTCAAGGAGCACCCTGGGGTTTTAAGGAGGTGCCTGGCTTGGGGAGGCAGAGCTGTGACTACTGGAAATAGGATGTGATATTTCAATTGTGTTGCAAGAAGCAAAGAAACACTTGGCAGGTGCGAGGGGCTTTGTTTGAAAGTGGGTTTGAGAGGCTGGATTCTCTGCCCTGGTTTGTACTGGGATGTCTTTACTGCTCTGTGCCTCAGTGTCCCACTAACTGGTGGGTTTTGTGTTACCCTCCACTGCCTGTTACTGGTGTTCAGAGGTGGTTTGAGGCAGGGATGTGGGATCCTGCACATGGCTGTAGGGACCATCTCCACCTGTGGCATCACTGTTGTCGTGAGCTCGGGATCTGTGCAACCTCTTTGTTCCTGCATTTCCCAAGCAAAAGCAGAGCTGAGCAGGTGTGGTTTACCCCATCCATAAACCAGCTAAAGCCTGTCTCTTCTCATTGCAGAATGTAACACCGACAGTAGAAGAAGAGAAACCTGAGCCTCCAACTGTCCAGGAGATCAAACAGAAAATTGAAAAATACAACGCAAAGGTGACGAACTGCCTGTTGATGAAGCTGGTACGTATCAGCTCTGTGCAGGTGATACACAGAAAAGATCAATGCTGGTTTCCCTGGGCTGGGACCTGAGCCAGGCTGTAGAAGGCATCTCCAAGGCAAGAGGGATTGTGGCTCTTGAGATGTTCTTGTCTTCCTTACCTGACCCTTTTTCTCCCACTTGGGTTTCCTTAGCGTTAGTCACTGATGCTTGTGATAACCCTTCCCTGCCTCCGTCCCTTCTCAACTGGGAGCTCTGGCACAGACATCTCTGGCCAGCCAGTGCTGTCAATGACTTGCCCCAAACAGATGAGCCCACGGGGATGAGTCACGGTAGAACCCAGGCTGCCACGGTGCAGTTCAGCAGCCGTCACAAAGTGGATTTAGAAACACAAAGTGGATTCAGAATGACAAAGGGTATTTAGAAACACAAAACCTTTCTAGAAAGAGAAGCTTTTCTCCTCTGCCACTGCCAAGCTTGTTTCAGCAGAGGTCTAAGAACCACAGTAGATGCCTTGTATTTTGAAGGCATTTTGCCTTGTATTTTGATTGCAAACTTGCTTATCACCACCTCTAAGTAAAGCCTTGATGATATACGTGGTGAGAAGACAAGGACATCTCCTCTATTACAAACCAGAGTACTGCAAAGGTGCAAACTTCACAGGATCTTACAGAGAGGGGGGAAAAACTTCTTAAAGAGTGAAATAATGAAATTGTAGAACTTCCAAGAACAGCAGCTACATAACTCCCAGGTGCTTGCTAACATCTGAAAATCTAAATCTGAAACTTGTTTAAAATAGATCTTACACCCGTTTCCTTTGTGAAGGCTGCTCTGTAACTTCTGCTGCAGTGTCTTGCCCATTGATTTTTATCAGCCCTTGACATAGAGGAGTCATTTCAGACCCATAGGTTTACTCTTGAGTCAATTTTTTTGAAGATGACTGAAAAAACAATCTTGAGACTTGACACAGCCTTGGGACTCGACTGGGCTCAGCTGCTGGTGGTGGCCCTTTGGTGGGACTGCAGACCAGTGCTCCCAGTGCCCGAGGTGGATCCCTCAGCTTGTCCCTGCCTGGCACCCGTGGATGGATGGACTGTACAGAGCCAGGCTTTGCTCTTGATGTTTGCAGAGCTGAGGGTAGGGTAAGGGACCTGTTGTGAGACAGGCTGATCTTGAACAATGATTTATTACATGGAGATGTGAAACTCCTAGAAATGGGGAATAAAACTTGAGGAATGTGGTTGGGAAAAAACTGAACACAAGGGGTAGAGACCTTCCCAGAGGTTTCAAATCCTCACTTAATTGCAACTACAAATTACATGTAATGGTTTCCATAACTGACTTGTAATAGTGTTGGTTTAAAATAAGACGAGATCGCACAGAGGCGAGGAGGGGATGAGTCACTGCTGGGTGGAAGGAACAGGAGAAGATCAGTTGTGACTAACCTGAAATTACTGGTTACTTTTTACATGATTAATAAGAAACTCAAACCCCTGGCAGTGCCAAGGGGTGGAAAGTCCTGTGGTAGTGGGGGGAAGGATTGGAAAGGCTCCCTGGAGCCTGACCCCTCCTCTCCTTTCCTCAGAACGACGATGGGACGTACACAGGTTTCATTAAAGTGCATTTGAAGCTGCGTCGCCCTGTGACGGTACCAGCAGGGATCCGGCCACAGTCCATCTATGATGCCCTCAAGGAGGTGAACCTGGCTGACATGACGGACAAGAGAACCTCCTTCTACCTGCCGCTGGATGCCATCAAGCAGCTCCACATCAGCAGCACGACCACGGTGAGCGAGGTGATCCAGGGGCTCCTGAAGAAATTCATGGTGGTGGATAATCCCCAGAAGTTTGCACTTTTCAAGGAGATGAGGAAGGATGGGCAAGGTGAGTTCACACCCTCAGACCCACCAGCTTTCCTGTGGCTGATGGGTTTGATTACTGTTTTGTGTGATAGAAACATCATCACAGGATGTTTGATTCATTCACTCAGGACCCGGTGGTGTGTCAGGTGGGCAGTGCCTCATGTCAGGTGAATAGATGGGCTGACCACCACAAGAGGTGATGCTGCTTAAGCTGATTCCTGGTTATCAGAAGGGGCTGAGGTCCCCTGAGACCTGACAGAGATCATTACTGATCTCTGAGAGAATCTCAGCTATTTCCAGTATGATCCTGAGAAGCACAAACTGCTTTTACATGCTCCAGTTGACCTCCTGAGCTCTCCTCTGCCCTGGCAGCCCCGGGCTGATGGTGGGTATCTGCTGTCCCCTTGCAGTGCTCTTCCAGAAGCTCCCTCTCACCGAGTACCCCCTGTACCTCCGGCTGCTGGCGGGACCTGACACAGATGCGCTCAGTTTTGTGCTGAAGGAAAATGAAACAGGGGAAGTTGAGGTATGTCGGTGACTCTTGCCCTTGGTTTTCACATGGACGTTGACAGCGTTGTGGAGCACGTGGCAGCGCTGGGAGATGTGTGGCAGAGGCAGTGTGGGTTGGAGCATAAGCAAGGCTGCTTCCCTCTGATGGGGCTGGGTTCAGCATATGAAGTGTGATCCCAGCTTTTCTCCTGATTTAAATGATCAGCTCAATGGACTGCTTGTACCTTAAAAAAAAAAAAAAAGCCAAATAAAAAAACCCAAACAAACAAACCAAAACAAACAAAGAAAATCCCCCCAAAAATGTATTAACTCCTCAACTATGTTGATTTTAAAAAATTTAAAGTTGAGCTGTGAAAATGCTGAGGCCAAACCATAATCTGCTGGCAGAACCAAGCAACGTCATCCCAGAGTTATCCCAGAGTTAATCCTCGATAATTAGATTAGCTAAACGCTATTATAAATAATCCACTAATGTAAGTAGAAGCCGGGGACACTTGGGCAGTAAATTCACCATCAGTTTTTGGTTACAATCCCATTCTCCAGCACGACAAAGGCAAATGTTGGGAGCTGCTGCATGCGGTGGGATTCTGCCGCCCGTGCTGGCAGTGGCTCCGTGCCGGGGGGGTGGTTCAGGACGTGCCGCGCTGCCAGAGGAGCGGGACTGCGGCCGGTGAGGATGCTGAAGGGACGCCGGCATCTCCCAGCACTGCTGAGCAGAGATAAAGCTGTCCTGAATAAGTGATGGCAAATATCAGCCTGTTCCTCACTGTCAGCCCAATGCTGTTGGAGGTGACAGCCGGAGCAGCCAGTCTGCTGGCACCTCGTGCCAAGAGTTTTGCTGAAGTTCAAACAGTTTTGAGAACTTTGCAGTAAAATAAAGAGCCCTGGCTCCTGCTGGGACCTGGCTCCCCCTTCGTCATGAGAATGTGATGTCAGGTATTTCCATCTAGATTTCAGTTCCTTAGGGAGCTGGGTCATCTCTTGCAGTGGGAGCTTTAATTCACCTGAGTAAAGACAATTTCTGTTAAATCTACAGGCTCAGGGCTGGGATGGTGCTTTGTGCTGTAGCCCATTATCTCACAACATGATGCTGGGGGATTGAGCTACCTGGAGATCAGATACATGTTTAAATGTCTTTTATTGTTCCTCTTCGCAGATTCAGGGGAAAAAAAAACAACAACCAACAAAAAAACACCCCCCCCCCAAAAAAAAAAAAAAAAAAAAATAAGGTGAATGGTTTGTGCTTATTTTCCCTCTGTTTCTGCTGTTTCTGCAGTGGGACGCATTCTCCATCCCAGAGCTACAGAACTTCTTGATGATACTGGACAGAGAAGAAAAGGACAAAATCCAGCAAGTGCAAAGGAAGTACGAGAAGTTTAAGCAGAGACTGCAACAGACCTTGAAAGAAGCCAGAGGCAAACCTGGATAACTCTTGAGGAGGCACTGGGCATCAGACTAAGCTAGATACTATTTTTAAAATGAAAAGACACTTCTCAGGACACCTTCTAGTGGTCACTCTCCCTCTTCATCCTTCCATTAAGGACTGGCTCACAGCACCCATAAAATGAACATACAGCATTTTCTTCTTCTGAAACCTCTTACCCCAGGACCAGAGCCAGTCAAGGAACGGGAAACCTGCTTTGAAACCTGCTTTAAAACTGTGGCCATCAACAAACCAAACGGAGCTGCTGGTTCACTTTTCAGCTGTACCATCCGATGGAGAAGCTTGGTGGAAAAATGCTTGATGTTAAACCCAACAGGAACATCTCCTGGCTCATGTTTTGAGCAGGGTAACACTTGCTGTTCACGCTCCTCCCAGCAATTTGTTTGTTCTTGTTCAGAGGTGCTGCAGCTCCTTGCGTGGGCCCACGTGGCAGAGTTCTTCTTTTGTAAGTAGAGCACAGGAAGCAGCAGATAAAGCAGAGGAGGTTGTTGCACCAAACCACGTGGGTGTTGCAGCTGCAACCAATGCTGGACGGACTCGTTCAGGGCCAGGGAAATGTCAAGTTATGACACCAAGGCAGCTGCAACACCCAACCACTCTGTTAGTAAGTATTATTGAAACTTGGTGATATTAATTCCAGGAAAAATCATCCATTTTGATTCTAATTAACTACCAATTTTGAAAACAGATGTGAATTCCAGCAAACACCCCTGATGCTTAGCTGAGTTAGCCAGTGTTTTACCAGTTTTGTACTCTCTAGTAATTGGGACCTATGTTTTAAAAAAATTTGGTTTGAAAAGTGGAAAGATGATGGTTGGGGCATGAGCCGATGGTTCAATACTGAATGTTCAGCAATACATATCCAACAGAATAACCCAGGAAAGCTCAAAGCTCCTTTTCACAAATCAGAAGTGATTTTGAGCTTTGAACAGGTCTGGCACCGAGGGAGAGGAGCTCCGAGCAGGGCCAGGTTGTGGATGTGTCCGTGTGGAAAAGCCTGAGCACCAGGAAGAGTAAGGGAACCGTTAGCCTCAGCTGCTTTCCTCCCACCACTCTCATACTGTGCTTCCTCCTGCTGACCCTCCTCACCACCCCTCTCTCTGACACCCCATCCTCTCCCTCCCTGGGCCGTTCTGGATGTGTTGTGTTCTCCTTCCCCACTCACAATCGGTGCTTTGCCTGCGTCTCCAGGAAGGTTACCAGGTTTTGCTCTCTCCGTGGAGTTAGGAGAGGAGAAGTCTCCCTCTCCCTCTCTCAGGGCTCCCACTATCTCTGATGCCTGCACTGTGCATCCTTCCAAAAAATCCTTGAGCTGGGGTGTCAGTTACTGCCATAACTCTAACCAGGGACCCTGATCTCGCTGGTGCTGTGCAGCGATGGCTGAAGGGCAAGGAAGGTGTCTGAGAGAGGACAGTCTCCATGTTTACCCTCGGTGCTCTGTACCGAGCGTGCTGCACGCAGCCAGGTTCAGTCTTCCCTCTGTTTACACAGGACACCCCAACAAAAGAGAAAATGGAACATGAATACTCGCCAGATGGAGCATGTGAAAGGGTTTCGTGTTGGCTTGATGAACAAGTGTCCCTTTGAGCTCGTTGTGACTCCACCTGCGTCAAGTGGGAAGGGAGGTAACAGGTTATTGGGTAACAGTTACCACAGAGACAATGTGGAAGAGTCTAAAAAAATTTACCTCAGTGCCTTTTTTTTCCCTTAAGTGTGAAAAACTCTTCATTTGGGCTAAGGAGGAAGTTGGAAGGGGCTTTTGACAGGAGACCTTGTCAGTCCTGCCCCCCCATTACCTGAAGTACTGTTGTGACAAGGCTGCTTTTGTCCTTAGAGGAACGAGGAGCTGTTTTGTTTCTTTCTTGAAGGTGACTGCTTAGGATTATTATTTCACCCCCTCTCCCCTCCAGATTTATACTTGAGTATGTTTGTTTATAAACCATTAAGAGTGTAACTGCATCACTTAAAGCCCCTCGGTTTGTATAAATGCCACTTTCTCCAAGCTTAGTTCCAGCTCATGTTTTAGTCAGTCGTGTCACAGGGTTTGCTAACAGGGCTCTGGCCTCTGGCACGCGGTGCAGGAAGGACCTCCCAGCTGTACTGTACTCTACACCCAGATGACCTTTAACAACGTGGCAGCAGCCAAAATAGAGCATCAATTTTCATGCTCTGGGGTTGTTTGTCCATTTACAAGAATATTTATTACTTCACTGTGCACTTGTGAAGTAATTTAAATAACATTTATCTAGAGCTTTGAGTCTGGAAAGCACTGTATAAATACTTCTGTTCAGTCAAGAGGAAGAACACTGTACAAACTGCCCTGGGTTCTGAGAAGTAAGATCCAGACGCTTGTTTTTAAATCCCTTCTCTTTCTGGCTAAAAGTTGTAAAGATTTCTTTTTGTTGTTGTTGTTGTTGTTTTTCTACTAGAATTTTGGTGACTGTCTCCCTCTCCCCTCCTGGAACCCAGCATGTCTTTGACATTTTGTAGAAGGCATGGCTTCTTATGCAATTACCGTGAATGCTGCTGAAAAACCTCCTGCAAAGGGGAGGGCTTGTTTCTTTTGGGTTTTTATTTTATTTTATTTTATTTTGTTTGTTTGTTTTCAAGATAACGGGGCATTTGAGGAATTGGTAGATCTTGAAACTCAAATTCTCAACAGTCAGTTGAGCTGTGTCAAGGACAGAAGTCCTGGCCCCTTCCTTAAGCGCAGAATACTGTTAGCAGTGCCTTTGGTTAATAGATTGTCTTGCCTAGGTCGTGTCAATTTATTTTTCAAGTCTATTATAAAACATGTAAAATAATGTGTATAGAATGAAATAGCAAAGCTTCTATGGCAAAGTGAAATGCATTTTTGCAATGCTGTAATTTATTTTTACTACTCCCTAGTGATTCTATGGCATTTTTAAAAAATGTCTCATTCCAGCTTTTTTGAAAGTTCTGAAACTATTTGTTCATATGCAGACAGTGTAAAAGAAAACGATAATAAAACTGTCAGTAATTAAAGAAGTCTCTTTAACTTCTTTTTCTGGCGCCCTCCTATGGAACTTCAATGTATTAAGTCTAAAGGGAAAATACAGCAGTCCTTCCTAGAAGTGAATTTAAATTTCTTAACCCTACTGTAAAGTGTTTGATTCAGCTGAAGAGCTACAGAACATCTACCCCTGTGGAACCTGACCAAAGTATTCCATTAATCTTCTCTTAATGTTTTAGCTGGATTTGACAGAACTGCTACCCATGTCTGTCTGTGATAAATTACAGTTAATATCATACCTTAAAATGTATTTATATACAAAAGTATTATAAGCCATTAAAATCCAGCTAACAGTTCATTCTCAGCGCTGATATATCTGATATTAATATCTGGAAATGTTTAAAAGGATAAAATCTAAAACCCAAATAGGTTTTACTTCTGACATACACAATCTGTGGCACAACACACTGGATTACACCAGGACAAGGTGTTGGAATCCTGTGTAATTTCGTTTAGGTTCCTGCTCTGGCAGGGGGATTGGACTAGATGATCTTTTGAGGTCCTTTCCAATCCCTAATATTCTGTGATTCTGTGTAACTTACATGTTGGTGGAGGTTCTGTTACTGTGCCTTTGCTAAAAGATGCAAAGCAAGAATGTGAAAGTAGCCAAAAGCCACTGTAGCCAGTGCAATATTAGGAACTTCTAGAAAAGATATGGAAAAGGATAATGCTAAGGGTTTTATTCAGCTTTTTATTTTTATTAAAAATGAACAGCTGGAACAATATTATTATTTGGGTGAATCCTAGACCTTGTAAACATCCAGGACTCATCTTTGAATGAATAGGGCCTGTACATTATCCATGATTTGTTGACAGAACACTTCTATACATCATGAGATCTGCATAATTCTTACAGTAGACTTTTCTCTTACTTCTTCCGGCCGACCTTTGGAGCCTTCTCAAGACCTTGAATGTATTTCCGAGGTAGCTGGTATTCTTCTGCAAACATAACCAAGAGTTCACTTCAGGTAAATATTCAGAGTGCAAGAATTAAAATCTGTATCTTGCTGTAACCAGTCCTGGCCCAGTTCCAGAACAGACTTACCTAGCAGCAACTTGGCCAGATGATGGATTTGGTTGCCTTGAATCTGGACCTGAACTCTGTCTTTTGTTCCTGGTATTGGTGTGATGGTGGCACTGGCTTGTACTTTTTGTTGCAGAATGTTGGCCACACACTGTGGGTCTAGACCATACAGCTCAAGGTTCTTGATAATTGTCACCTGCAGGTTTTAATAATTATTGCAAATATCACTGGTGTAGGTATCAGCAAGTCAGGTCCCATCCATCCCAGAAAAGCGAGCTGCCAAAGCTGCTCTTGAAATCTGGGCTTCTGCTCAAAACCCATAATTTTAATTCTCTTTTTACCTTCTTATTTGATGATCTCTGTGCTATGGTTATGTCGATGGGCTCAACATTTCCTTTCCTCACAACAGGTTCTTGTCCAAAAAATGTCACCTGGTGTAAGGGCTGCAGTCGTTCAAGGCACCTGAACAAAGTATATACATCCAATTAGTCTGTGCAGTAGAGCAAGGCTGATGTTAACTGTGCTCTCCCACTGGAGCCTCTCACAGATTTCTGAGACTACACAAAAGTAGAGATTCTATGTGAGAGAAGAATTTGTATCTTGAGAAGATAATGCATGATGATCTCATGCAAAGATTTGCATCCTAGTTATTATTTAAAGAAAGCAACTGACTAAAAAGAAAGCTAGTCTACTGATGTGCAAAAATTATAGCTTAGACTGTTACTGGTAAAAATCTTATAAATTGGTTCTTGTAGAGGAAAACCTTTAATTTGTCTTTAAGCTGTTGTTCAGTTGGATTGTTCACAGACCGGTGAAGCAACTTCAGTTTAAAATTCAGCATAAACTGTGTTACTGTCCCACGAGCAAACTTGGCTTCAGAAATAAAGGAAGCTGCTGGAGGTGCCTCAGAAGCATTGTGTGATGAAGAAGCTCAAGGCAAGTAAGACATTGGGGACATTTAGGCAAAGTTTTTCAGTATATGGAAACAATGGTCTTGTGTCAGATACTCAGGCCTCTTGGATCTGAAAGGTGGGTTTAGGTTATAAATGCAGAAGTTGTGCTGCATGTA